AGTTAAGAGGCAGCAACACTGCCATCCCCTGCCAGGGACAAGTTAAGAGGCAGCAACACTGCCATCCCCTGCCAGGGACAAGTTAAGAGGCAGCAACACTGCCATCCCCTGCCAGGGACTTGTTAAGAGGCAACAACACTGCCATCCCCTGCCAAGGACAAGTTAAGAGGCAGCAACACTGCCATCCCCTGCCAGGGACAAGTTAAGAGGCAGCAACACTGCCATCCCCTGCCAGGGACAAGTTAAGAGGCAGCAACACTGCCATCCCCTGCCAGGGACAAGTTAAGAGGCAGCAACACTGCCATCCCCTGCCAGGGACAAGTTAAGAGGCAGCAACACTGCCATCCCCTGCCAGGGACAAGTTAAGAGGCAGCAACACTTATTCAGGGCGCAGGGGGTATTGTCTCCCTGCCATTGACAATAACCAGTTTCCGTGTGTCGCTCAACAGCAGGTAGAGACGGTTCACTTAAATTAAATGTGTACTTTTAAAGATGAGATCTCTATGCCTGGATAAAGAAGTTCAGACAGGGGAGCATCAGAGACTTATAGGAGAAAAACATATTTCTGTTCCTTGAAGTTATAAGTTCATTTGACTATTCCTAGAGTTTGACTGATGTGTTTTATGGCAGCTCCCACTTGGTGTGCTTTCCATGACAGACGGATCAAAACTCCTAGATACTTTTCTTTATCATTCTGCTGTATGGTTGCTGGTATTCTAGTTGTATGTGCATCGTTATAACCTACATGCAGGGTCTTGCACTTTTCAGTATTGAAAAGCATTTGTCACTCGTCAGACCATTTTTGGAGTTCATGTGGGGATCTCTTTGTAAGACCTCGATCTCGTTTTCGCTTCTTACATTGTTTTTATAATAATAATTACATTAAACTGTGTAATCTGTAATTACACTAATTAATTGATAATTAATGAATAATAATAATTAATATTATTAATAACTGCAATTAATTTATTAAATCTGTAATGTGTGATGTGTAAGGGCACCGTGGTCTTTGATGGTTTAACATCAGACGCTTTTGACCTCCGAAGTGGAGTAAAGCAGGGCTGCGTCCTGGCTCCAACCCTGTTCGGGATTTACTTCACAGTTATGCTGCAGCACGCCTACGGATCTGCCACAGAAGGCATCTACCTCCGGCCAGGTAGGATGGAAAGCTCTTTAACCTCGCCAGGCTGAGAGCCAAGACAAAGATTCGGCTGAGGCGTCTGCACGACTTCCTTTTTGCTGACAACGCAGCAGTCACCACCCATTCAGTTGGACAATGATTGGTTAGTTGGACAATGATTGGTTGGACAATGATTGGTTTGACAGTGATTGGTTGGACAATGATTGGTTGGACAATGACAGTGACGTACTCTGAATGTTAAAAGGATCTGGGAGTGATAATTACTCGGGATCGTGAGCTAAAATATCAATGCATAAATGTTCGAAATAAAGCAAATAGGATTCTGAGATTCTCACACAGATGATGTTAGCAATAAGTCATCAAACACGGTGTATATGCACCTAGAGGTGTAGCCCGCATACCTGTGTACATACACAGAGTTTACTCAAGTCCTGGTCTGTGTCGGCGACTAAAGAATACTATTTTGTTGGTGAGCAAGATATTGTGGAAATCTTAACAACCTCTCTCGCGGCTTATACACTTTAAACCCAACACCAAACCAGAAATCGATTTTGTTCTTTATCTTTAGATTGGCCGTGCCCATGTTAGCTTCATTTTGGCCACATGTCGCTCAGTTTTGGCCACCTTACTAAGCAATGGACAAGAAGGGAAGGAAATTATCAGGGGGGGAGGGAGCGCCAAGGCATTACGACTATATAACACTTGGAAGTAGTCAAGATAAGGATTTGGGATGGGACGGGGAAAGGAATGGTGCCCAACCACTTGGACGGTCGGGGAAGAGTCAAACTCTCTAACCTTTCATGAGGCTCGTGCGTTACTTACTTTAGAACAGCAGGGAAGGCTTCCTTAGAGCAGTTGGACCACCTAAAGGAATCTTCAGCTAGCGCTTGTCCCATGAGGAAGCCTTGGCCGGGACAGCGTCGGGCGGAGGCCTGGCCATCGTGAGGAACACCCATGGAGTGAGCCAGTTCGTGGGCGGCCACGTACACCGCCTTGAAGGACTGCGTCTCCACCACTGAGCAGGCGCTGCTGGGGTGGCAGAGGCCCTTCCTGTAGGTGGCGCCCAGAGATGACGGAGTCGACTGAAACAAGTCTTTCCTGGGCGCCAGAGACAAGACAGTGTTAAGGCTGGCTCCCGACTGTAGGGAGGGGGGGGGGGAGGGGCTATTTTTGTGTTGAGTGGGGGAGTGTAAATTAAAAATGACCCTATTATAGATTAGAATCTAGTAGAACATATTAAGAATTTTTGTGACAGTTCAGGGATGTGTGGCAGTGCAGGGGTGTGTGGTAGTGTAGGGGGGGTGTGGCAGTGTAGGGGGGGGGGGGGTGACAGTGTAGGGGGGTGTGACAGAGTATGTGGGGGGGGGGTGAGGGGTGACAACACAGGGTGTGGAGGTAACAGTGAGGACTGACCCGGTGAGGAGCATGGCGTGGTGCCAGTGTAAGGAGTCCTCGTGTGGTGGCCGCCGGCTGCTGACCCACTGGCAGAAGTTCTGGAGGGTGCTACCTGCCTGGCCCTGCGCCCTCAGTGGCACTGCCTTCTCCTCCGCCCACACGCCCACCTGCACCAGCTTTATCCTCAGCTCCTGGTCTCCAGTCAAGGCTTGCTGCAGCACCTCCTCCATCTGCGGTATGATGACAACATTTATCTAACGAGGTCATCCAGTACAATAATATGGGCACTCGTAAATGTATAGTGAATATACCGATTAAGCCGCCATGATGGAGATAAGAGGGGGTGATAGTGGTGCAGGTGAGTGAGGGCCAGTAGTGAGCTTACCGCAGCGACAGTTGTGGTGATGAAGCGGAGGGCGGCCTCTGGTGGGTGGTACGGGTTGCGGGCGGCCAGGCGGCCCAACAGGTCCGGATCCGTAAACACGGCCAGACGCAGCTGACGGACCTCTCTCCCACCTCCTGCAGGAGGAGCATGCCCTCACTACCTCCTCTCCACCCCATAAACCACACATTCACCTTTTTATTTCAACAATTACTTCACCAAATGCATTCACACACAAGCTTTCGATCGTATAAGACTTCAGAAATAACATCTTACACTTCACTCTTATATTATTTGAAATACTTAAACAAATACAAACTTGAGTGAACTGATGTTTTGATGTACTGCATTACACACCAAGATTATGTATAACTTAAAGTAACATTTACACTTATACGTGCAGACAATACAATGTTCTTAAGTTGTACGTCAAGGCAACAGTGGAGCAGATAGCGTGTCTTCTAGGAGCGTCTTAGAGGTGGACACAGACGACAACGGTGGTGGGGGAGGGACACCTACCTGGTGTAGTGTCCTCGCTGTCTGTCTCTGCCACAGCTGGGTCAGCGGTGGTGGGGGAGGGACACCTACCTGGTGTAGTGTCCTCGCTGTCTGTCTCTGCCACAGCTGGGTCAGCGGTGGTGGGGGAGGGACACCTACCTGGTGTAGTGTCCTCGCTGTCTGTCTCTGCCACAGCTGGGTCAGCGGTGGTGGGGGAGGGACACCTACCTGGTGTAGTGTCCTCGCTGTCTGTCTCTGCCACAGCTGGGTCAGCGGTGGTGGGGGAGGGACACCTACCTGGTGTAGTGTCCTCGCTGTCTGTCTCTGCCACAGCTGGGTCAGCGGTGGTGGGGGAGGGACACCTACCTGGTGTGGTGTCCTCGCTGTCTGTCTCTGCCACAGCTGGGTCAGCGGTGGTTCCAGGCATGTCTTCTTCGCCAGCAACCTCAACATTGTTGTGGCGGCGGACTCTGTCCCCCTCAAGGGTAGTGGCGTCCTCAAGGGTAATGACGTCGTCAAGGGTACTAGTGGCGTCGTCATGGGTAACGATGTCAAGGGTACTAGTGGCGTCGTCAAGGGTACTAGTGGCGTCGTCAAGGGTACTAGTGGCGTCCTCAAGGGTACTACTGGCGTCGTCAACTGTACTACTGGCGTCGTCAAGGGTACTAGTGGCGTCCTCAAGGATACTACTGGCGTCGTCAAGGGTACTAGTGGCGTCGTCAAGGGTACTAGTGGCGTCGTCAAGGGTACTAGTGGCGTCGTCAAGGGTACTAGTGGCGTCGTCAAGGGTACTAGTGGCGTCGTCAAGGGTACTAGTGGCGTCCTCAAGGATACTACTGGCGTCGTCAAGGGTACTAGTGGCGTCATTGTGGGTGTTGGCGTTGTTCAGGGTAATATTGTGAGGGACAGCGTTCGTCAGCGTCAAGAGTGGAGTCGTGCTCGACCTTGTCACCATCTGCCAAAGGAAAGCATGATAAATTCTCCAAGTGATATTGTAAATACAAAAGTTGTGTCTTATTATGCATTATTATTATTATGTTACTGTGCTCACAGTAACGAAACTGTCACGAAACCATCGACACGGTACATCCAAACTTTAGAGGGCGCCTGACAGCTGAGTGGACAGCGCTTCGGATTCGTAGTTCTGAGGTTCCGGGTTTAATCCCCGGTGGAGGCGGAGACAAATGGGCAAAATGTTTCTTTCATCCTGATGCCCCTGTTACCTAGCAGTAAATAGGTCCCTGGGAGTTAGACAGCTGCTACGGGCTGCTTCCTGGGGATGTGTAACAAAAAGGAAGCCTGGTCGAGGACCGGGCCGCAAGGACGCTAAGGCCCGAAATCATCTCAAGATAATTTCAAGATAACGGTACCCCACAGGAGACTGCAGAAACTCCCAAAATAGGCAAGAGTGACGGAAGGTACTGCAGCAGATAAAGGAGTACCTCTGCTATAAGAAACATTCACAGTGTAATGAGAGACATGAGAGTGACGGGATGGTCGAGTGGCGTTCCATGAAGGTCATTGCTCATCTACATGACCAATCTGCCATAGGGGAAGATTCCTTCCTTTAAATGTTTGCCGAAGATGCAAAACCTATATGATAAACCAGGGATAAACACAACGTAAGACTGCATGAATACTACAAGAGGACCTCGACAAAATGAATATATTGTCTCTCAAGTGGCTACTAGAATTCAACTATAGCAAGTTCCATATAATGAAGCTGGGAACGAGGAACCGGAACCAAGATATCACATAGTAGAGGAAATGTTATTAGAGTGGGAAAGGGTTGGGGGGTTGACATTACCGTGAACCTGTCACCAGAAGCCCGCATCACAAGAATATCATTAACTGCATGCGGAAGGTCGGCTAGTATAAGAACTAGTATAGGAATCTTAACAGAGTCGTTTGGAACTTTGTATATCGTTTATGTCAGATCAATTCTGGAATATGCGGCACCAGTGTTGAGCCCTTATCTCGTTAAACACAACACGAAGCATGAGAAAGTTGAGAAGTATGCGACCAGACTCGTCCCAGAGTTGGGTGGTATGAGTTATGAGGAAAACTACAGGCGTTAAACCTCACGTCAGTGGAAGATTGAAGACACAAAGAAGCCTTGATTACCACATACACAATACTCAGGGGAATAGACAGGGCAGACAAGGACAGACTATTTAACAGGAGTCGAACACGAAAAGAAGACGCAGTTGAAGACTAAGTACCCAATGAGCCACGAAGACATTAAAATAATTGTGTCAGTGCCAGAGTAGTGAACGCTAACAAGTGATGTGGCAGACTCCCTACACAATTTCAAATGAAGATATGAAACCTCCCGCCTCCCAACTCTTAAAAGACTGGTGTAAAAGTTCCAGAACATATTCTGGAACTTTTACACCAGTCTTTTAACAGTTGGGAGGCGGGACCCAAGACCGGGACCGGGTTCATCTCCCGCAAAAACAACTAGGCGAGAGTAGCTAAAGTAGCCACTCTGATCAGCTTTCAATGTACACTATTGCCCGTTCTCAGGGGTCGTGTTGTATGTGATCCCAACAGGGGTCGTGCTGTCTGTGATCCCAGCAGGGGTCGTGTTGTATGTGATCCCAGCAATGGTCGTGCTGTCTGTGATCCCAGCAGGGGTCGTGCTGTATGTGATCCCAACAGGGGTCGTGCTGTCTATGATCCCAGCAGGGGTCGTGTTGTATGTGATCCCAGCAATGGTCGTGCTGTCTGTGATCCCAGCAGGGGTCGTGCTGTATGTGATCCCAGCAGGGGTCGTGCTGTCTGTGATCCCAGCAGGGGTCGTGCTGTATGTGATCCCAACAGGGGTCGTGCTGTATGTGATCCCAGCAATGGTCGTGCTGTCTGTGATCCCAGCAGGGGTCGTGCTGTCTGTGATCCCAACAGGGGTCGTGCTGTATGTGATCCCAGCAGGGGTCGTGCTGTCTGTGATCCCAACAATGGTCGTGCTATATGTGATCCCAGCAGGGGTCGTGCTGTCTGTGATCCCAGCAGGGGTCGTGCTGTCTGTGATCCCAACAATGGTCGTGCTGTAAGTGATCCCAGCAGGGGTCGTGCTGTCTGTGATCCCAACAATGGTCGTGCTGTATGTGATCCCAGCAGGGGTCGTGCTGTCTGTGATCCCAGCAGGGGTCGTGCTGTATGTGATCCCAGCAGGGGTCGTGCTGTATGTGATCCCAGCAGGGGTCGTGCTGTATGTGATCCCAGCAGGGGTCGTGCTGTCTGTGATCCCAACAGGGGTCGTGCTGTCTGTGATCCCAGCAGGGGTCGTGCTGTATGTGATCCCAGCAATGGTCGTGCTGTCTGTGATCCCAGCAGGGGTCGTGCTGTATGTGATCCCAGCAGGGGTCGTGCTGTATGTGATCCCAGCAGGGGTCGTGCTGTATGTGATCCCAGCAGGGGTCGTGCTGTATGTGATCCCAGCAATGGTCGTGCTGTCTGTGATCCCAGCAGGGGTCGTGCTGTATGTGATCCCAGCAGGGGTCGTGCTGTATGTGATCCCAACAATGGTCGTGCTGTAAGTGATCCCAGCAGGGGTCGTGCTGCCTGTGATCCCAACAATGGTCGTGCTGTATGTGATCCCAGCAGGGGTCGTGCTGTATGTGATCCCAGCAATGGTCGTGCTGTATGTGATCCCAGCAGGGGTCGTGCTGTCTGTGATCCCAACAGGGGTCGTGCTGTCTGTGATCCCAGCAATGGTCGTGCTGTATGTGATCCCAGCAGGGGTCGTGATGTCTGTGATCCCAACAATGGTCGTGCTGTATGTGATCCCAGCAAGGGTCGTGCTGTCTGTGATCCCAACAATGGTCGTGCTGTATGTGATCCCAGCAGGGGTCGTGCTGTCTGTGATCCCAGCAATGGTCGTGCTGTATGTGATCCCAACAGGGGTCGTGCTGTCTGTGATCCCAGCAGGGGTCGTGCTGTCTGTGATCCCAGCAGGGGTCGTGCTGTCTGTGATCCCAGCAGGGGTCGTGCTGTATGTGATCCCAGCAGGGGTCGTGCTGTCTGTGATCCCAGCAGGGGTCGTGCTGTCTGTGATCCCAGCAGGGGTCGTGCTGTCTGTGATCCCAGCAGGGGTCGTGCTGTCTGTGATCCCAGCAGGGGTCGTGCTGTCTGTGATCCCAGCAGGGGTCGTGCTGTATGTGATCCCAGCAGGGGTCGTGCTGTCTGTGATCCCAGCAGGGGTCGTGCTGTCTGTGATCCCAGCAGGGGTCGTGCTGTCTGTGATCCCAGCAGGGGTCGTGCTGTCTGTGATCCCAACAGGGGTCGTGCTGTCTGTGATCATATGCCGCCGTGTACTCACCTAATTGTACTCACCTAATTGTGCTTGCGGGGGTTGAGCTCTGGCTCTTTGGTCCCGCCTCTCAACCGTCAATCAACTGGTGTACAGATTCCTGAGCCTACTGGGCTCTATCATATCTACATTTGAAACTGTGAATGGAGTCAGCCTCCACCACATCACTTCCTAATGCATTCCATTTGCTAACTACTCTGACACTGAAAATGATCTGTGTGTGTGTGTGTGTGTGTGTGTGTGTGTGTGTGTGTGTGTGTGTGTGTGTGTGTGTGTGTGTGTGTGTGTGTGTGTGTGTGTGTGTGTGTGTGTGTGTGTGTGTGTGTGTGTGTGTGTGTGTGTGTGTGTGTGTGTGTGTGTGTGTGTGTGTGTGTGTGTGTGTGTGTGTGTGTGTGTGTGTGTGTGTGTGTGTGTGTGTGTGTGTGTGTGTGTGTGTGTGTGTGTGTGTGTGTGTGTGTGTGTGTGTGTGTGTGTGTGTGTGTGTGTGTGTGTGTGTGTGTGTGTGTGTGTGTGTGTGTGTGTGTGTGTGTGTGTGTGTGTGTGTGTGTGTGTGTGTGTGTGTGTGATGTGTGTGGGTGTGTGTGTGTGTGGGGAAGTGTGTGTGTGGGGTGTGTGTGTGTGGGGGGGGGTTGTGTGTGTGTGGGGGGGGTTGTGTGTGCGGTGTGTGTGTGTGTGTGTGTGTGTGTGTGTGTGTGTGTGTGTGTGTGTGTGTGTGTGTGTGTGTGTGTGTGTGTGTGTGTGTGTGTGTGTGTACTCACCTATTTGTGCTTGCAGGATCGAACATTGACTCTTGGATCCCGCCTTTCCAGCCATCGGTTGTTTACAGCAATGACTCCTGTCCCATTTCCCTATCATATCTAGTTTTAAAAGTATGAATAGTATTTGCTTCCACAACCTGTTCCCCAAGTGCATTCCATTTTTCCACTACTCTCACGCTAAAAGAAAACTTCCTAACATCTCTGTGACTCATCTGAGTTTCCAGTTTCCACCCATGTCCCCTCGTTCTGTTATTATTACGTGTGAACATTTCATCTATTTCCACTTTGTCAATTCCCCTGAGTATTTTATATGTCCCTATCATATCTCCTCTCTCCCTTCTTTTCTCTAGTGTCGTAAGGTTCAGTTCCTTCAGACGCTCTTCATATCCCATCCCTCGTAACTCTGAGACAAGCCTCGTCGCAAACCTCTGAACCTTCTCCAGTTTCTTTATGTGTTTCTTCAGGTGGGGGCTCCATGATGGGGCAGCATACTCTAAGACGGGTCTCACGTAGGCAGTGTAAAGCGCCCTAAAAGCCTCCTCATTTAGGTTTCTGAATGAAGTTCTAATTTTCGCCAATGTAGAGTACGCTGCTGTCGTTATCCTATTTATATGTGCCTCAGGAGTTAGATTAGGTGTCACATCCACTCCCAGGTCTCTTTCTCGAATCGTTACAGGTAGGCTGTTCCCCTTCATTGTGTACTGTCCCTTTGGTCTCCTGTCACCTGATCCCATTTCCATAACTTTACATTTACTGGTGTTAAACTCCAGTAGCCATTTCTCTGACCATCTCTGCAACCTGTTTAAGTCCTCTTGGAGGATCCTACAATCCTCGTCTGTCACAACTCTTCTCATTAATTTTGCGTCATCCGCAAACATTGACATGTATGATTCCACTCCTGTAAACATATCATTTACGTAAATTAGAAAGAGGATTGGTCCCAGCACCGATCCTTGAGGTACTCCACTTGTTACTGTTCGCCAGTCCGACTTCTCGCCCCTTACCATTACCCTCTGGCTCCTTCCTGTTAGGTAGTTCTTCACCCATACTAGGGCCTTTCCGCTTACTCCTGCCTGCCTCTCAAGTTTGTATAGCAGTCTCATGTGCGGTACTGTATCAAAGGCCTTTTGGCAGTCAAGAAATATGCAGTCTGCCCAGCCTTCTCTGTCCTGCCTTATCCTTGTTACTTTATCATAGAATTCTAAAAGGTTTGTTGGGCATGATTTCCCTGTCCAGAACCCGTGTTGGTGCTTGTTTACAAACCCAATGCTCTCCAGGTGCTCAACAAGTCTTAGCCTAATTATTCTTTCAAGTATTTTGCAGGGGATGCTTGTCAGTGATACGGGTCTGTAGTTAAGTGCCTCCTCCGTATCACCTTTCTTGAAAATCGGTACGACATTTGCCTCCTTCCAGCAACTGGGCAATTCTCCCGACATCAGTGACTCATTAAAGATCATTGCCAGAGGCACGCTGAGAGCCTGCGCTGCCTCTTTTAGTATCCACGGTGATACTTTGTCTGGTCCAACAGCTTTATTTGCATCCAGTGTTGTCAACTGTTTCATTACCTCCTCTGCTGTCACCTCTATATCTGATAGTCTTTCATCTAGGGTAATCTCTTCTAACAATGGGAGCTGCTCAGGCTCGGTTGTGAACACTCCATGGAATTTTGCATTCAGTACCTCGCAGATTTCCTTGTCGCTTTCTGTATATGCCCCTTCTGTTTTCCTCAGTCTTGTCACTTGGTCATTTACCGACATCTTCCTTCTTATATGGCTATGTAGTAATTTAGGTTGCTTTTTCGCTTTAACTGCAATATCATTCTCATAATTTCTTTCCGACACTCGTCTTATGTAAATGTAATCATTCTTAGCTCTGTTACATCTAATCCTGTTGTCCTGTGTCCTTTGTCTTCTGTACTTCCTCCACTCCCTCCTGCTTCTCACCTTTGCTTCCTGACACTGTCTATTAAACCATGGGTTATTATATTCCCTCCTGCTTTTTTCCTTTATTGTTGGAATAAATCTCTCTTCAGCCTCCTTGCATTTCAATATGACTTGGTTCATCATACCTTGCACTGTTTTTCCTCTAAGTTCTTCCTCCCACTGCACTTCTCCCAGGTAGTCCCTTATCCTTCTGTAGTCCCCTTTTCTGTAATCAAGTCTCCTTTCCCGGACCTCTTGTCCTTTGGTCACAATTTTAAGCTCCATCATGTAGTCAAAGACTAGGACACAATGGTCACTAGCTCCTAGTGGTATTTCATGTTCCAACTGCTCGATGTCTTCTACGATGTGTGTGTGTGTGTGTGTGTGTGTGTGTGTGTGTGTGTGTGTGTGTGTGTGTGTGTGTGTGTGTGTGTGTGTGTAATTACCTAAGTGTAGTTACAGGATGAGAGCTACGCTCGTGGTGTCCCGTGTGTGTGTGTGTGTGTGTGTGTGTGTGTGTGTGTGTGTGTGTGTGTGTGTGTGTGTGTGTGTGTGTGTGTGTGGTGTGTGTGGGGTGTGTGTGTGGTGTGTGTGTGTGTGTGTGTGTGTGTGTGTGTGTGTGTGTGTGGTGTGTGTGTGTGTGTGTGTGTGTGTGTGTGTGTGTGTGTGTGTGTGTAGTGTGTGTGTGGGGGGGGGGGTGTGTGTGGGTTGTGTGTGTGTTGTGTGTGTGTGTGTGTGTGTGTGTGTGTGTGTGTGTGTGTGTGTGTGTGTGTGTGTGTGTGTGTGTGTGTGTGTGTGTGTGTGTGTGTGTGTGGTGTGTGTGTGTGTGTAGTGTGTGTGTGGGGTGTGTGTGTGTGTGTGTGTGTGTGTGTGTGTGTGTGTGTGTGTGTGTGTGTGTGTGTGTGTGTGTGTGTGTGTGTGTGTGTGGTGTGTGTGTGTGTGTGTGTGTGTGTGTGGTGTGTGTGTGGTGTGTGGTGTGTGTGTGTGTGTGTGTGTGTGTGTGGTGTGTGTGTGTGTGTAGTGTGTGTGTGGGGGGGGTGTGTGTGGGGTGTGTGTGTGTGTGTGTGTGTGGGGTGTGTGTGTGTGTGGGGAGTGTGTGTGTGTGTGGGGGGTGGTGTGTGTGTGTGTGTGTGTGTGTGTGTGTGTGTGTGTGTGTGTGTGTGTGTGTGTGTGTGTGTGTGTGTGTGAGTGAGTGAGTGAGTGTGTGTGTGTGTGTGTACTCACCTAATTGTACTCACCTAATTGTGCTTGCGGGGGTTGAGCTTTGGCTCTTTGGTCCCGCCTCTCAACTGTCAATCAACTGGTGTACAGATTCCTGAGCCTACTGGGCTCTATCATATCTACATTTGAAACTGTGTATGGAGTCAGCCTCCACCACATCACTTCCTAGTGCATTCCATTTATTAACTACTCTGACACTGAAAAAATTCTTTCTAACGTCTCTGTGGCTCATCTGGGTACTAAGTTTCCACCTGTGTCCCCTTGTTCGTGTCCCACCCGTGCTGAAGAGTTTGTCTTTGTCCACCCTGTCAATTCCCCTGAGAATTTTGTAGGTGGTTATCATGTCTCCCCTTACTCTTCTGTTTTCCAGGGATGTGAGGTTCAGCTCCTTTAGCCTTTCCTCGTAGCTCAATCCTCTCAGTTCCGGGACGAGCCTGGTGGCATACCGCTGAATCTTCTCTAACTTTGTCTTGTGTTTAACTAGGTATGGACTCCAGGCTGGAGCTGTATACTCCAGGATTGGTCTTACATAAGTGGTATACAGGGTTCTGAAAGATTCCTTACACCAGTTTCTGAAGGCTTTTCTTATGTTGGCCAGTCTAGCATATGCCGCTGATGATATTCTTTTGATGTGGGCCTCTGGGGACAGGTTCGGTGTGATATCAACCCCCAGATCCTTCTCTCTATTTGATTCTTGCAGGATTTCCCCTCCCAGATGATACCTTGTGTTCAGCCTCCTGCTCCCTTCGCCTAATTTCATCACCTTACACTTTCCAGAGTT